TGAGGCTAACGCAAAGATTTTCACGTTTGGTTCTTATCGGCTTGGTGTAAGAACCTCTTTACTCTATTAACTTCTCCTTCTGCATTGTTATATCTCTTCATACATTTAAGTACTTACTTTTGTGGGTATTTCATAATTGCATTTGTACTTTGTTTTCAAGAGATATTCTGTAAAATCATGTGCTTATTGGAGCAAGATCATTTGTATACAGAGGGACAGCCAGACTGAATGTGGTAACCGCTTGGTGGTTATTGGAGATACTGCATTTCTTAATTTTGCTTATTGGAGCTATTGCGTTTCTTAATTTTGCAAACTATTTCCAAAAATTTAAAGATATGAATAATTTTCTTCTCGTGACCAAAGGAGGCCAAAATTCATGCCTTGAAGTAACGTTTTTGTGACATGCAAATTTCGTTGGCAAGAGACCGTGGGGACGAATAAGAAAGATATTTAACAAGTGAATGTAATTTGCGTTTTCTTTTGGGATAGTATCCTATCAAGGTGTATCTAAACAATCTAATAATTTGGAAATAAATAAAGTTCAAAAGCTAGATTTCCGTAACTAGGGATTAGTCGTCGGGAGCTTTTGTGGACTTGGTACATGTTGTTTTAGGTGAATGTTTTCCTAGTACAAGTCAAAATATGTTATTGCTGGGGGAGCCTCTATAATTACAGGAGGGATGTTCAGTACCGATTCTTAATAGTCCTGTTCGGGGAGTCAATAAGCTAATACCTGTGGATGTCTATTTGCCAGGTTGTCCCCCTAAACTGGAAGCAGTTATAGATTCTATAACAAAACTTCGTAAGAAAGTATCTCGAGAAATCTATGAAGATAGAATTAGGGCTCAACAAGCAAATCGGTGGTTTTGTGAATCTCCTCTAAGGGAGGATACAGATAGTGTTATATGTATTCATTTGAACTTAATAGGCTTTGTATGCAGCAAGGGAAAGAGAGCTAAAAACACTTTCTCCATATGACATGTCATATAAGTTTGTAGACTAGAATTCATATTTATAACTTCAAATGCATTAAATATGTAGACTTAAGAGTTTGACTTGGCTGGTTCTGAATGGATGAAGATGGTTGGATTGCATGTGCATGACCTTGATTATTTGGCTGAAACTGGTAGTTTAATAGTTCAAATACAATGTTTCACTGGAAAGAAGGATGTATGATTATACAATTTTTTCCTGGTCTTGTCAAATATTTTAGCTGTTCTCTAAGGTTTCTATACATCATTTTGTGGATTGACTTATGGTTGCTTTCTTCTAATCATAGGTTCATGGTCCTGGTGCTGATATTGATACCTTATGTGTTGGACCAAAACATGCCAGTCGAAATGTAGGCTATTTAGATTTATATTCTATTGCTTTTGTTACTTCTTGAATGGAGGTAATAACTTTGTGATTTGTCACATACAGGAAGACTTCTTTGGTGAACTTTACAGAATGCTCTCCGAGATGCCTGAAGTACAAGAACTGCACCCGGTGCCAGAGGCTCATGTTCCTGTGATGAAGTTCAAGTTCAATGGTGTTTCTATAGATCTACTTTATGCAAATGTGTCACTATGGGTTATTCCCGAAGTATGAACCTTTTCTCTTTGTATCAACCAGTTTTTTAGTATTTTTTGCATTTATTTTTTATTCTGGTACAATACTTTTAAATGTGAAGTACTCTGATGACTTTAAAGAGTAATGTAATGGTGAATCTGATCTGGTGCACGTGTTTGCGTTTACAGTGATGCCTTTCCATGTCAAAATCGTTATGCCGTTAGGCTTCTTTTAAACAAACTCTGTCCAGTTCAATGTGAAGTCTTCTTTTTTGCTTCCATCACTCCGTTTTATTCTCCTTTTGATTTTTTTTTTTCTTGCCTTGGAAAACTTCTTCTTGATTCCACCTACCCCTCTCGAAGAAATATAAGGAATAGAAATTAAAGAAAAAGAACACTGTTGAGTTGAAGAAGTGAAGCATGATTTTCGATTTTTCAATATACTCGTGCATTTGTTTCACTATATAAAGCTGCAAGGATTGTCTTTCAAGAGTGTATCCCCGCTAACTTCTTTTAGGATTACTATATCTATTGGCCTGTTTTTAGGACTTGGATATTTCTCAAGAATCGATTCTGCAAAACGTGGATGATCAAACTGTTCGCAGTCTCAATGGTTGTAGAGTGACTGACCAAATATTGCGGCTGGTCCCAAATATTGAGGTCTGTGAATCGTACAATGAAAACATTGAATTAATTGTTTCTCTAATGATATCTAAACTCTAATCTATATTGTCTGTTTGTTGTTTAGACTTTCAAAACGACACTCCGATGTATGAGGCTGTGGGCAAAGCGACGTGGGGTTTATTCAAACGTGAGAAACTTCAACTCGTGTTTTTTTTTTTTTTATTA